GACTGACAGCTTTGTTTTGCCATATTTGACTTTATTCTCTTCCAAAAAAAGTAATAAGAAATAAGGATAATAAAACCCAAAATGTGTAAACTTTGTTGTAAAAAAGAGAGGGGAAAAAAGTGCTCTAAAGGATACAACTGCAAGTGTGTTTAGGGGTGTTAAATAGATGACCATATTAATGTTTTTGGTTGGATCATTGAACACAACTGTTTGCAGTTTCTCTGTTTGAATGTTTACTTTGCATGCTTTGATACTGTGACTTGAGCAACTATCTCTAAGATGATAATGTGTAATCTATTAACTGGTGATTTCTTACAGCTTTTTTTTTTGTAGTTCTGTATTACTTGTACCCTTACACCACTTTGTTTTGTTTTGTTTTTTCTCTTTTTCCTTTTAAATAAAATTTTTTAAAAATTCATCATCATTGGTCATTAGAGAAATGCAAATTAAAAGAACAGTGAGATTCCATTTTACTCAAGAAAGAATGGGTAAGATCAAGAAAATTACTAACAACAAATGCAGGAGAGTCTGTGGGGAAAAAGTAACACTGCTGCACTTTTGGTGGACGTGTAGACTGGTGGAACCACTGTGGAGGTCAGTCTGGAGATTCCTCAAAAATCTAGCATTGGAATTCCCATTTGACCCCATTAGTTCACTTCTAGGCATATTCCCAGATGAACTGAAAATGTCACACCACAGTGATATATGCGCATCTATGCTTATACAGCACAATTTGTAATAGCCAGATGTTGGAAACAACCTAAGTATCCACCAACTGAGTAATAGGGAAAAAAAGCTGTGATATTTTTAAACAATGGAGTACTACACAGCTATAAAGTGTGATAACATTGAGGTATTTATAAATAAATGAATGCAGCTTGAGACCATACAAATAAGCAAAATAAACTAAACTCACATGTACAAATATTGTATGTCTCCCTAGTGTAAGAAATTATAAGAGTATATAAGATTTTTATGATAATCATGATTCCCCATTACATTGCTTTGAAGCCTTGTAAGGTTTTCCTTCATTAGTTGGAATAGTTTTATTCTGTTTTGTTTGATTGTATTATGTATGATGGTATGAACAGCTACTTTAAAGAAAACAAGACATTATGGCAGCCATTGCTGATTTAATACCATCTTGCTTTGAAGTACTACCACACTTTTGTTCTTCTATTTCCATTGATTCTATCATGTTGTGTCCTATTCGATTGTATTATGTGTGATAGTATAAACAAATTTTTATGGAAAATGGGATAATATAGGGGCCATTATTTGTTTTCTGTTATTCAGTTCTGAATGCTATGTAATATTTTCATTCTCTTCAATGGTTTTGTACTATTTTGTTATGTTTGATAATATTGAATGTGAAGGTATGCTCAATTGTTTAAAAGAAAGAGACATTATAGTAGCTAGTGTTAATATCCAGTTGTCTTGTGGTGAAGTGTTGTGCTGTGTGCATTGTTGTTTTCTGATCTGCTTTGCTCTGTCTTCTTTTGTTTTAGTCTCTTTAAAATTAAATTAAAAAAAAACAAAGAAACCTGAAATCTTTGGATACAAACTTACCAAGAATTCCAAGTATTCATTTCAGATTTTTCACTTTCACTGTGTATATGTAATATGTTATCAGTATGAGGATAGAGATGGGGAGAAATGTTACAGGAGATTATGAGAGTTAAATGTGTTGGCAAGAAAACATCTTTAAAATTTGCTTCTTAAAGTTTTCTGTTGCTATTATGCCAGTTCCCTCCTAACCACACCACAGGAATCTCACCACTACCCACTCTCAGTGGATTCATTATTTCAGACTGTACATTCTCAAGTGCAGCAAATTCTTTGTTTATCTCTCTTAGGAAGCTATTACAAAGAGATCACAAATTAATGACTGAACCTGCATGAATGTGTGGTGTGACCTTGGGAGAAAAGGCGCATCTTGAAGTGAGGCAAACCATAGGGTCTTTGAGTAATATTTTTTGTGGATAAGAGCAGAATATATTTATTGGAGAAAGAAAGCTCCTACTTGAAAAGAGACAAAAGTGGTCTTGTATGGATTGCCTAGGACCCTGACTTTTCTAGGGATTTTATAGAGAAAACCACAAGATGAGGCAGGTCCAAAGTGGAGAGAAAGGAGAAATTTCTAGGTGGGCATTAGGTGAGTCTAAACTATGGTGAACTAATAAAATTATGAGTATAATTTCTCAGGTAGAATTGATTAAATGGTGCTCAAATGAGGAAGCAAATCATACAGCAAGTGGGCATGAAACAGAACAAGAGCTATTCCCGTATGGCTTTGGGTTAGTGATTCTTCCTGGCTTCTCAAGGTGATGAGTGCCTACTCAGAATATCAATCCCTGATGTTTATCCTTAGGAAATATGTGAGTGAATTTGTTTTATGTTTTGTCTTGAGGTCTGGTCTCAAGCTGTCTCCCCCACATTTGCAAGGTATCTGGTCTTTTGCACTGGTCCCTTAGAGGGCCTAGCCCTATCTGACTTCCTATAATTTTTTTATGTAACTAGATTTCCTATAAGTTTCCTCCCTGTGAAAAGTAAACTACAGTACTGTGAGGGAATAATGGGTGATGACATGTCTGGTTTCTTCAGGCTAAAGAGGGTCACAGTTGTCAACAGGCAGTCAGAGACACTCACCAAAGGATCTATCTAAAGGCTTTTGATAGCCATCAGGTGTTTTATCTTGAGTAAGTGTATAGTGTTCAGTCTGGAGTAGAAAATGTCAAAGAAACTATTTAATATATATGGGCTAAATAATAGAATCAACACAATAATTATGAACACAGTCAACAAAGATTACCACCAAGAGGACTTAGTATGGCAATATAAAAAGGATAAAGATAAGGTGAAGGAAATTTTAGAATCTAACATGTTATTGACTTTTCATCTAATTTTTCTTCATATATAGAGATATTAGCAGAACTATCAGGAAAGTACACACAACATTCAGCTTTTACAATTGCACAAGTGCCCATTGTATTGTTGTCAGAATGTCTAATGCCATCTGATTTTAAAGGATGGCCTATCTTCTTAATTTATTTTTTTATTTAGGTGAGAGAAAGACCAGGTGGTTGTCATTTAAGTTCTGCTGATTAGAATTAAGGCCTCTATGGGTGTCATATGACCCTCTCTCTGCACAGGGTGTGAATCCCAGTAAAAGAAATACAAAATGAATCTAGCATATTTGATATTCATTTTATCTGTATGATTACTTAGGGTTTGGCATTTCTATGGAAGAACTAATTTTTTGAGAAATGAGAGCATGTATCATCGGAGTTTGAACATGAGAAGTGAGAGGTAAGTTTACCAACTGTTTTCAAGGATAACAATTGTAACTCACTGAACATTAGACACCTTTACTAATGAAGTCTGATATTTTGTTGTGAGTTCCTGTAACTTGACTTATAATTATCTCTAAGTTTTTGAGGACTCATGAGAACCAGATTAATAGATTACTTTGACTAATGAAAAATATTTAAATTTTTGTACATGAACAACCATATGTATTGTAATGGTAAAAACCAGTATCAGCATTTTGTTTAGTTGGCAACCTGAATATATAGATTACAGCATTTAGACAAGATAAACTCTCTCCAGTACAGGAGCTGGGCTTTTGATTATAATTAAAATGAATGAGTGAAGAGAAATTTATCGCTATTACACATTAAGCAAGACAGTTTTCTGATGACTGTTTTTATTGAAGTATGATGCCTGAAAGGAAGGTCAGAGTCAGAGAAGGACAAAGAGACATGTACCAATGTCCAGTAATGGCTTATTATTCCGCTTCTATAGTCATGATTACCCAGGAATCCTCCATGGATACAACAGGTAGAAATGGAACTGCACTCTGTTCAGAAGGAGGGGCAGAGTGCCCTAAGGCTCTCTGGTCATGTTAGACCACCTGGGAAGTGGACTCTGAGCTCTGGGACCTCTGCCTCAGAGTGAAGTGTCCTTTCAGTGGCTGGCTTTGTGGTCAGGGTATGGCATGGAGGGCCTCTTAAAGCAGTCCATTGTAAGGTGGCCTGGGTTTCAAAGTATTAGCAGTTGACCATGATTTTTGAGTTCTTCTCAGACCCCAGGGAATAAGACTTAAATTCTATTTTTTAAGGCAGCAACAAACGCAGGCACTTTTTGGTCTCTGCTTTTTCTTTTTGGTCTTTACTTTCTCTCTATCCCAATTACAGAATACTAAGTAAGAAGCTTTTATTGTGGTATCAAGGAAATTATCTGGAACAAAAGGAAACTTTTTCAACTTTTTCAAATATCTGGAGATTACTGTGAAATAAAAGTGTCTAAGAAAATTATATTCTTTTATGTAATCAGGAACAATGGACATGTTTCATCAATACCACTTATAAATAATCTAAGAAGGTGGAAGCCTTTTCATCTTTCTCCTGACAAGCAGTTGACAATTTAAAAAAGAATTGGTTTTTATACTTCTTAGGCCTTCGAAACTACACAGAAAAAAGGTCAGAAATGTCTTCTGCTCCAATTTCCTAGCTAGCTGTTAGGTCAGCAGGGTGCTTTGGTTGCAGTGGGAACTGGTTGCCCTCTTAGTTGCCTATCTCCTGGGTATCTTAAACTAACAATACGATATTCATCCCAAAATGTTATAGCAGCTTGTAATGCTGCACCTGTCTCATTATAAATTGATGATTGATTTAGGATTAACATTAAAAATTTCCAACCTAGATTACGGGTCTGATTAAATCCTTTAAAGACATCAGTGTACTTATCAGGCTCATCTGAAACTTTTCCTTCTTCTAGTTTGATCAGCTTTAAGTCGCTGAGAAAAAGAGACATGTGTACATGGGCAGCCTCATATGGATTATAATTGTAATTTGAGCATAAATAAGAGTCATTTGGCAATATAAAAAAAGGTTTTAACATAAGGTAAAACTGTCCACCTATTGATGATAGTATCTGATTTTCCTCCCAAATGGATGAAACAGGAATTAACAGAGAAGGCTGTTCATGATTAAGGAACAATGAAAGGGATCAATTTGAGCAGCTCTGCAGATTTTACTTTACTGGGCTTTTCTGACCAGCCCCAGCTGGAGCTCATCCTTCTTCTGGTCATCTCCATTATCTATATTGTAACACTTCTGGGTAACATAACAATCATCCTCATCTCCTACCTGAACCCCAAGCTCCACACACCTATGTATTTCTTCCTGTCCAACCTCTCCTTCCTGGACCTCTGTTTCACTACCAGCATTGTCCCACACATGCTTTGGAATCTCAAGGGCCCTGGGAAGACTATTAGCTACACTGGCTGTGTGATCCAGCTATACATGGTTTCGTGGTTGGGCTCAACTGAATGTGTCCTGCTGAGTGTGATGGCCTATGACCGCTTCAACGCCATCTGCCGCCCCCTCCACTACGGTATTATCATGCACTCAAAGTTCCTCCAGCAACTAGCGGCCCTGGCCTGGATCAGTGGTTTTCTGGAGTCCACCGTGCAGACCAGCCTTGTTTTCCACTTGCACCTCTGCAGCCACCACAGGGTGGATGATTTTATATGTGAAGTGCCTGCCCTGATTCAAATTGCCTGTGAGGACACAGCTTTCTTGGAAAATGAACTCACTGTTGCTACTGTCTTGTATGTGGTGATTCCTCTGGGGCTCATTGTGGTCTCCTATGGCTGCATTATTAGGAGTGTGCTGAAGATAAAGCTTACAGAAGGCAGGAGGAGGGCATTTGGGACATGTGGGTCTCATCTCATTGTTGTGGTCCTCTTCTTTGGGACAGTACTTTGTTTCTATATTCAGCCCAAGAGCACATATGCACAGAATCACAAAAGTTTTGTCATCCTTTTCTATACTATAGTGACACCTTCACTTAATCCTTTGATATACACTTTGAGAAACAAAGAAGCTAAACAGGCAATAAAAATGTTACTGGCAAGGGAACCAACTTAAAGAGAATCATGGAAATCATACAGGGACCTTGAGCCATTAACTAGTTATGATCCCTTGTATTTATCAAGAGCATCGCTAAAGGTCCTAAACAAAAATTGGTGGGAAAAATAAATAAAATAGAACATTTAATGTCCACAAAGTAGACAACTCATTTTCTATATTGACAGTGATGTTACCAAATTTAAATCTTTAGCCTCCTCTCTAGGAAAATTATTTGTCTCCTTTGCTGAACTCCTCCATAAGGATTCCATGAATAAACAGAAAATTTCAGGTATATGAATGTGTGGTATCCAATCACAAGTCTTACACCTCTTTCTCTCTCACTACTAATGGTGTGAGTCGCATAATTACCACCAAGCTCTTTCCCATCAAAGAAATAAGTCTTTTTCTCTTGGAAGCAGAAGTTCAAGCTTACCAGAAGACACATCATCTTCATTTTTAGGCCTCACATTTGGCAATATGGAGCCAGGAGAATGCCCTTTGAGGGTCTTACCTGACAGTGTGAAGCCTGCTGGAGAGTCACCAGACACTAGCATTTGGCATTTTACAGTGATGTCAACTCCTGTGCATTAATGGAGACATCTGGGGTTCAGTTCACCCAGGGAATTTTGTTCTCTCCCTCACAGTGAGGATGCTGTCAAAGTAGGTAAGCTATGATACTGAATATTGATTAGTGGGAAGACATTGCTATGATAACTTAGGTAACTCTCACATGCACCTGTCCTCATTATTATTAGCTGTCCATCCCTTTTGATCAACAATTTGGTTCTAGTCCTTGGCTGTGACACAAAGTATGAAACACAATTTGAAGCATTGTCATTATATCTGAATACTTAAATTTCACAAAAGTTAACATAGTTTTATGAATGAGAAAAGTTTGTCCTTATCATTGATATAGCATTTTATGTATGTTAAAACTCAACTGTATTCATAAGATTATCTTCATGCTGAATATAAAGTTTTCATCTGTTCTGGGAAATTACTTCACAACTTGGTAAAAATTTTAAAATATTCAGGTTGTTTCACTAATATTTACAATATTTACTTAAAAATATTAACCTGATTCCTATCGCCTTTAAATACTTGCAATGTGTTAAAATGTAAATGATAGTTTCACAAAAAATATTATTTTTAAAATATTGGTGAGGTATGTAAACATAAATTATTTCAGGTGTATTTTAAAAGCTACTGTAATTGTTGAGTTTTTAAAATCAGGAAATACATGATCCAGTCTGAAGCCCAGTCTCTATAAAACTTGCTTTCTTAAAATATAACTTGACCTGATAACCATGATCAGATCCAATTAGTCTTCAATCATGCCTTTGAAATGCCAAATGTCTGCTACACAGTATGGTTACCTGAACTATCTAGAATCTTAAAATTTTAAATATTAAATACAGAAACTAGCAAAACTGACATTCACACGTGCACAAGAAGGTGAAAACATGTTAAAATCCCATTGTTCTGCACACACTTCACTTGTGGTGGAACCACCTGGCTCAGGTCTCCCTCCCCCACTGTGTTCTGTGACCCTCAGTCTAGAAGCCTCCGCACTGTAATGTGATGACCTCAGCACTGTGGAGAAGATTCCTCGAGGGAGAAGCCTGGTCAAATGGAATATCGCTTTATAATTTTTGGAGAAACATCCACACTGAGTTCCACAAGGATTGTAGTAGCTTATATTTCAAAAGTATAAAAGCGTTCCTTTCCTCACATCTTTACCAGTATTTGTTATTATTCAATTTCTTAATGATAGCCATTCTTTCTGCAGTGAGATGAAATCTTTGTTGTTTTAATTTTCATTTCTGTAGTGGCCAATAAAGATGAATATTTTCTTATGTATTCATTGGTCATTTTTAATTCTTCTGAGAAGTGTCTATTCTTTCCATTGCCCATTTTCCTTTTTTGGGAGGAACCAAATCATTTTATTGAGGGATTTGGAGTGAGAAGAAACAGCCCAAAACAGGCCCTAGACAATGAGAAGGGACGTTCTTGCCATGGCCGGATCTTTCCGTGTCCACCGTCACCAATGTCCATTGCCCATTTTTCAACCTTGTCTTTTTTGGGGGAGGGTCAACACTTGAAAACTTCTTTATATTTCTGGATGTTGGGTATCTGTCTGAGGAACAGCTGTCTAAATTTTTCCCAATTAATGTGCTGTCTCTTCCCTCTGTTGGGTATTTCCTTTTCTGTGCAGAAACATTCTTATTTGGTAAACTTTCATTTATTGATTCTTGGTGGTATTTGTTGTGCAACTGGGATTTTGTGGTGATCCCTCAGTACTACATATGAGAATGCAGAACAAATCCTTAAAATTGAGATGTTATGTGAATACTGTGCTCATGATATTTGACAGAATCAGACTCGTACCAGACAAAGTAGTGTTTAAGAGAAGAACTATTCCAAAGAAAAAGGCAAGCTATTTCATAATGTGAAAACATGCAGGATCTTTTAATGATTTGGAGTTAATAAACATTTTGCATTATAGTTTAAAATATGAGGAAGTTTATTATAAATATGAAAAAGAAATAGATAAATCCATAGCCCTAGTGTGATATATAACATAGAAAACTTCTATAAATATAAAGTATAACTGAATAAAGAAATAACACATGTGATTAGCATTTTTAACCAAACATTATCTAATAAACATTGAGGGTACAATGAAACCAATAAATATATAAACATTCTCTTTAAGTCATACTGTGAAAATTTATACAAAGTTAGCTATATAATATATGGAATATGGAATATATGGAATGGTAAGGAATCTATGAATATGAGACAGATGTGAAGGGAGGAGGAAAGGCTAGTGAAGTGATTAATATGTGATAAGTATATTATGTATACTATGTACAGCAAAACAGATAAATACATGTAACTATTTTGCATTGCAAACATATACAAATAAAAATAAAATTAAAAAGACACAGATCAGATTGAAATCAGTAAATATGAACAAAAAGCATTCTTAATACTTAAAGGTTTCAAATGTGAATGAATCATACAGAATCATACAAGATAACCCTATATGCACAGAAATTCAATAGTATTTATCTGTATGTTATAAATTTGGTTACATCTATTTCTTGATAGCCATTCTTTCTGCAGTGAGGTGAAATCTCTGTTATTTTAATTTTCATTTCTGTAGTGGCCAATAAAGATGAATATTTTCTTATGTATTCATTTTGGCTATAAATTTGAAAAATGAATGCCAGGTTATCTATCACTGAAATCATAACTATTTCATAATAATGAACATTTTATTTGATTCATGGTGATGATAAAATAAAAATATTTTCTAATTGTCTATTTATCTTGTGATTTTCCTGATGTAAAGTGGCATTTAAGTTCTGCATCTTACATTTGTTTGTGTATTTCAGTCTTTTTTATTATTATACAAGTCATCATGCACTTCTTATAAAAGATCATTTTAAAAAATATTTTAGACTTGCTGAACCAGTCTCTTTAACAAGGGGAAACTATACTTACAGCATAAAAACAATCACATACAATAAATAATGGAGACTGACTGTGTTTCAATAAAGCTCCACTTACATGAAGAGTGGAAGAACAGATTTGGCCAACCTGCTTACAGTTTGAAAATCAACTGTTTCTTATTCATATTTCTGTAAGTTGAAGCTTAACTACAAGTTAGTAAGGTGTAGTGTTTTGATGACTTGGCACAATAAAACTATGAAAAAATAATAAATTCACTATAGTAATTGAAAACTCTCTTACTCCATCTATCCTATTAGTTTTCACACTGAGCTGCTTACGTTTCACACTGTCCTGGCTCACTCATTACTGAATCAAATAAACCTTAGCTCATTCTAATATTATATTCATGTGACACAATTTCTGGAAAAAGTACACACAAGACATGTGATTCACAATATGTTTAGCTCATGCTTCAAAATAATAGTTTTAAATTTGTAAGTTCCTCTTTCCTTAGGATTATTTTAAAATGTGAACCAAAAGTTACTATGTGGATGGTTCAACATGCCTGAAGAGCAGAAGTCTCATTTGATTACTCAGAGAAAATTAACTAAAAACAGAGATATTTTTAAAAGGTGAAATATACATACTTATGGCCAAATCAATGTGAAATAAGGAACATGTAGATCAAACAAAACATATATATGGGACTTAATAAAACAGTGACCTGAATATAAGACCAGAAAAACTCCATTGAAAGACTCCTAGATACAATAAATAAAGTCGGCATTGTAGCTGGATACAAAATAAATACTCAAAAATCAAGAGCATTTCTATATACTAACACAAAATCAAAGAGAGAGAAAACAGAGAGGCCACACCCATCACACTACCATCCAAAAAATGAAATACTTAGGAAATATTCTCATGAAAGAAGTGAAAGTTCTATATAGGAAAAGTTATTATACACTGAAAAAAGAAAGAGGATCTCAGAAAATGGAAAGACATCCCTTGCTCATGGATAGGAAGAATAAATATTGTGAAAATGGCCATTCTCCTGAAACTGTTATACAGATTCAATGCAATCCCATTAAAAATATTATCAAAATACAGCATAGATCAAGGGAAATCACTCCTAAAATTCATAGGGAGCGAGACCTAGAAAAGCAAAAACAATTCTAAGCAACTAAGGCAAGGCAAGAGGGATCACAATCCCTGACTTGAAGTTATACTACAAAGCAACAGTAGTAAAATCAACATGGAAAGATTAAAAACAGAGCCAAAGATCAATGGAATATATTAGAAGATACAACCACAACTACAAACACACTCAACAACCTTATCTTTGGTAAAGGGGCCAAATATGTTCACTGGAAGAATGATAGTCTCTTTAATAAATGGTGTTGGAAAGACTGGCTCGCCATATGTTGAAAACTAAAACTAGACCCATGCGTTTCACCATGTACTAAATTAAAATCTAAATGAATCAAAAATCTGAATATTAATACATAAACACTAAATCTATTGGAAGATAAATTGGAAAATAATGAAGAAATAGGGGT